GGACACAAATTTAGAGAAGAAAATTTTTCGGTCGCTACCCGGATTCGAACCCGGGACCTTTTGAATGAGAGGCCAACACCTTAACCTGTTGGCCACGAGAGCCCCCCTTATTATTAAATGCTTTGGTTGTTATTTTTCTCTTTTAGTCTTTTCTTTTCGTTTTTTTTTTCTTTCTTTCATTCTGTTCTTTTCTTCATTTTTCGTTCGGGGTTGTCTTTTTTTTTTTTTTACTACACACATCTGTGTTGTTGTCAGCGACGATGTCCTTTGTTATTGCCTTGTTGTTGTTTTCGTTGGGACGTTTGTGTACTTTATGACAGTCAGTGGATATTTTGTGACGATGGGGATGATGGGGAATGAAGACGCTGAGCCGTTCATATCCCCATGCTGAGCCGTTCATATCCTCATGCTGAGCCGTTCATTCCCTCATGCTGAGCCGTTCATATCCTCATGCTGAGCCGTTCATATCCTCGGCCCCTGAAAGTGAAGACAATTTCACGATTTCGAGTCCAGTAGCTGTAACTCAACTAACCACAGGACTATCGACATCATTAACCTTACGCCCTGCACGTCAAACGTTATATATTTGAGATCCAGAGTGCATTTTCTTCTTATTGTATATGTTTTTATGTCCCCACGGACCCAATTGTTCGTTTGTAAACACAAGGGGGCTATCCCGAAAAAAATACTGTTTTGAGAGAATCGAAGGCAGAGTTGTTGGACCTTTGTTCAGTTTCTTTAAAAGACAAGGAGAGTTTTCTCTATAACCAAACACATATTATACATATCAATGAAACCAAACCTCTCCTATAGGTGGGGCAATGCCCACTTTTGGTTTAAGATCAAGATTTCTGGAAACCCCCGAAATCTGTGTTAGCCCCCTTGTCCTTAAAAGCGACAAATTTTGGTAATTAAGGAGGCGGGCTTCCTATCTTGTCTGTCAGGGTCAATTCAAGCGGAGAGAGGGATCCCACATCCCTGCAGAAAGATCGATCTACTCCATAGAAATCCCCCCCCCTCAATCTAACCCTCAGTCAAGAATCGAACTCGGGTCTCCTACGTGCAACAATGAAACACTTAACCTCTATACAACAGAGACTGGAGGTCCCGAGTAAGGAGATCGCATTAAGAAGAACAAACATTTTACACAC